TTTTTTGTTCCTCTCTACAAGGGAGGTCGTTCAGGGTGTGGGACGCTTTTTCAAAACGGTTTTTTGCATGCCGTAGGGGCTCTCTCACGTAGACCACATTACTGTGTTCCATTTTCGCTGAGCGCCCCCCTGAAGGTCAGAAAAAGGTCGAAAAAAAGTTGGTAAGAATGGGTGGTTTTCAGTGCCTTGGAGTGGTGCTTTGAACTTGTGGAAAAGATCACCCGCAAATTGAAGGGTACTGATGAAGACGGTATCGAAAACAGCGTGAAATTCGCTCAAAATTGAAGTTCTGTCAGTGGTAGTGCTGAAGGAAGTACGAGGGCTTCATAAGCGTAGTCGGCATCGTATCCGTTGCAGCGAAGCGGTGGTCAAGTGGATAGTGTGTCCGCCTCGAGTCTGCACGGGTTTGTGGTTCGAGTCTACCCGATGGCAACTGTTTTGCATTTTTGATAAACGTTCCCAAACTGACGCAGAATTGCTTTAGAGTCAAAACTAACGCTATATTCACAGTCAGGACAACCAGTAGCTCTTACAAATGGATTTTCTATAAAAACTGGCGGGATAAGTTTGCAGCACCAAACTGTCGTCAGATGGCGCCTACGCCAAAAACGAAAGCCATATTCGTGATCAGGACCCTGATTTACCCCCACATGCAGAATTTCGGGAAAAATCGAGGTTTTGACCTAACTTCGCAAAAGGGGGTGACCATGAGCTACAGGTCGTCATGCACGCCAGCGAGCAAGTTGAAGACGTGCGCGGCGCGGAAATCAAGCGGAACGCCTTGTTGGTTCACGAGAACCAAAATTCGATTTTATACTAAACATCTTCCATCACGTCCCAGTCCTTGGAATCGATCCAGCTATCGAGATGCAGCCGTTCGAGTGGAGGACCCGTGGGTCCAATATACCACGTCCTGATGGAGGGAGGAATCTGTCGACTTCAAAATCATGGTGTCTTGTTGTCCATCACCAGCTTGGGTGTCTGCCGTTGTCCATTTAGTATTGGAACTTCTCATTATTTGAGAAGGAGAACAAGGAATTCGTTTCCAGATCACCAGCTGCAGGTACTTACGGGCTGACCTATCAATGGCCAATTTTTCGGACCAAGGTCAAAATCTCAATTTTCTCTAGAACTGCTAATTTAGAGAATATCGAGTGCCCTGATCATGAATATGACATCAATCTTTTCCGATAGCTTCAATTAGCGCTTTTTAGGCGCCATTTGGCGTCTTTTTGGCACTACAACTTTTTTCCGCTAGATTCTAGCAATAGTTCGAGTGCAGTACTCATTCATGGTCTTGATAATGAATACGGTACCTAATATTGGTGCTGGCGCTATTTTGAGCGAATTTCGAGGCTCCAGTCGAATGCAAAAATTTTGTCATCAGGAGGGACTGAACCCTGGACCATTTATTTACCATTTTTTGACCTTCAGGGGGCCGCTCAGCGAAAATGAAACATAGTACTGTAGTCCCCGTGAGAGCCCCTACAGCATGCAAGGAACCGTTTTGAAAAAGCGCTCCACACCCTGAACGACCTCCCTTTTAGTTAGTCACTGTTTTTAAATAGTTAATGAATAGGGAGTCAGTTGAAGAATCTGACTAATACCGATTAACAGGGACGCCTATTGAATAACTGCAACCTCTCGTTGATTTATATATGAATTCTAATTGCAACGTCGTTCTATTTTGACGTGGAGCACATTCATTCAAAATCTAACGTACTTGGTATGTAACTTCTTCCACCTATGACGTCATTGGTAATCATTAACCAAGCCTGATTATTTTGATATTTCCTTGAGCTCGTCACTGTGCTCAAAGTGCGAAGCGCATACTCCTCGCGCTGTCGCGCTTCAACATCCTTTCAAGCCAACTTGTTTTTTCCTCCTAAAAGCAATTATCAATTTTCAATCTCATTGTTAGTGGGATTCGTAAAAATGGCTGCGTTTTGTACGAGCTTGCGCGCAGCATTGAAACCGATCACCAGTACACTCTTACTTTTCGCTACGATGTTCTACAGCCGTGTTGTTTTTCGCCGTCGTTTTCATAGCCGCAAAGCTTTTCTTTTTTTTGAGTATCATCTTTTGGATATGTCGTGATGGTATGATTGCTTAGGAGAAACTCCTCTAGAATAAGACAACACCTTCAAAAAATGGGCATGAAGAGAGAGAGAACAAAAGTACTGTTGCACTTCATACAATTGTACTAAGACGATGAATACTACTCAGTAAGAACAACTAAGCGTTAATAAGAAGTCATCTCCTGAGTGTGTGAAGGGAGAAGCGAATCTCAGCCGACGTTAGTGAAAGCTCGTGCCGCTTCAACCAATTGCGGACCGCGTCAGCATGCCGGCAAACAGAAAAAGACAGTTGTAATGATTCATTTAGCACAGACTAGTTACAGAGTTCTCTCTATATTTTTCTTGCACAAAAAATGTCATACATTTATAAAGATACGGATAAGATATTATGTGTCGATAAAAGAGACTGCAGAAGTTTACGGGGGTGTTACATAGGACGGTTCGCAATGGAATAAAGAGTGAATGGAGGCTGAGTAGCGCGAACCACACCACTCTATTGTCTGTCCTTGCAGTCGATGTGAGTGGCAGAGAAACCGAACTCCTCCACACTTCGCGCTGACAGTCACCGCTCGGCTTGCGCTATCAGTTCACCTCGACGGGTTGTGAGCATTGCAAGAATGACCGAACTAGCAACTTTCTTCGGTGGTTTCATTAATAAATCTGTTAGATTCGACGGGTCACAAAATTTATTGAAGCAACAAATGCAAATTAAGTAACATAGATCAGTGAAAGTACTTCAATTTTTCCATTGTATTCATCCAAAAATACCCAATTCATCAACCTTCTCGATTTCTTGATTTCAAAATAAAATCGTGAAATCGTGAAGGTTGATGAATTGGGAAGTATCTAATGGGAATTAAATTTCACAAATGTGAAGCATTGCTTAGTACAACTGTATGGATTACATCCATTCTGCTGAAGTGGGAGTGTTGCCTTGCTCTGTACAAGTGAACGCTTTTCCATATGCAATTATGCCATTATATGGAACAATACGACATGTTCTTGAGAATACCATTTCATTCATTCTTCTGTTCTCTCACCTTGCTCGAGAATTTTTGGAAGGGAAATAAAAGGGATCTTTCGGTAAGTAATTCGATATTTAAGACCGAATTATCAAGAACCATCACCCTGTATTCAAGAATTCAATAGAATTATTGCGTTCTCCACACAACAATAATTAATTTCTTAATTAATTTAAATTTCTTAATTAATTTAATTTTCTTTTTCAATTTCTTGATTAATTTAATTTAATTTTCAATTTCTTTCAGCTGCTTCGTCGTAACGTATTTCCACCAACCATCAAAAAAGAAAAATGCATGAAAGTGCATCGAAAAAGAGGTGCGTGTGAAAGGTAAGCTGAGATGCATATATAGTGGTGTCCTATTTTGAAGTTATGGGTGAATTTTGATCCAGCTCACAAGGTGGAGTGGTTACCTTCATAACCAAGCTTAATATTTGACACATTCTCGAACAAGCTCTGGAGATAATTATCCTAGTCGTCTGACACTTCTAGTTTCATTCACTTCCACTAGCCGATGTTGCCGTACGACCGTATGCGATGGATTCCGTCAACCAGAGTCAACATTTCACATTCTGTGAGCCGTATTGTACCTCCCGACAACTCATTCGATTTTGTCGCAAGCTTTTCATCAAATCCAAGTATTGCGTATTTGCAGGTCCACTCCACGGTTGTGAGGTGCCGGTATTGCGAAATCGCTCTGATGCCTTGCGGTGAAAAACCCAAAATGCGAACTGCGTAAACGTGTTGATGTGATTTTGAGAGTTAATGGAAATCGATTATCCATCAAGAACACCGAGGAATATATTTTGTGCACTCCATACACAACGACTGTTTCATAGGAATGTGAGAAAACGACCCATGTGATGAAGCTTACCTTGACGTGATCGTGAATTTTTTGAAGCACTCGTATGCGCTGCAGAAGCTTTTCGTCGTCTTTGATTTTTGAACTCACCTGGAAACATGCATCTACCCTTCTCCAAATCTGTAGAATAACTGCCGTTATGAAGCTCTACCTGAGAAATGAAATTCTCCAAGTTTTCTTTGACAGCCAAGCCAGCGCAGTTGGGACCGGCGTCGTCCGCCTAAACGATAGAGTACTGCATTTGCACCTTAACGTGGATGCAGACTATTTGTAACCTGCACGTAGTCAAAAGCAGTGATTGTGCCTCGTCGCTTCCGGTTCCGGTTAGACCAGCTCTCCTTCATCGTTTCGATAGTATTTTTTCTGTCGGGGAACTCCATTCGTAAAAACCATGGAGCCCATTCAAGAAGTATAAATCGCATCTGAAAGCAGTCATAGTGCAATATGGTACACCAAGTCGAATGACAATTCCTTTCTGCAGGAAAATTTTTCCTGTTATTTTGGCGCTTTTTATGGATGTGCTACTCGCAAAAAATATATGGCACATATTACGAGCGCGTGACGTGCTCCTTTTTAAACATTGTGTGTTGAAGTCATGCGTACTTCTTGTGTTCCAAACATTTGTCAGATGTAGCTTATTATTTTTACGAAGAGAAGATGTTTTCTGAGTTTTGGCGAAGAGAAGATGTTGTTCTGAGGTTTCTGGGCGAAGACTTGCTCGAGGTTGCGAGAACGCTATTGCGATGGCGGTAGCACAGAGGTGGATAAGGAGAACGATCCTTCGAGGCCGTTAAATTCTTCAAGGGCTGTTCAGAAAACGGCAAGGGACTGAAATGAGGAAGACGCGTACGTACAATAATGAGAACATCCCAACATCAATGGGTGCGAAAATTATTAAAGCAACACCCCAGACAGATTTGGTGCTAAAAACGGTCGATAATGAAACTGTGGATGCCTGGCTGACTGCAAATGAGAAAAGAAAGAGTAACACCGTCGATAAAGCCCTCAGGATTCTTTTCTTTGCCGCTGGAAATAAGGGGGGGTGGGACTGAACGTCTGCCCGACCTCGGTGGAAAAAAAAAAAGCCGATGAGCGTGACCGCAGCAGTACGACCCCCGCCCCGAAATCGGGGTCTTGATACGACGCTAAACGGTTGAAAATCGAATTTCCAAAACAATTTCTGCATCGGAAATTTTCTATCTATCAAAAATTTGAAATACTGAAAATCACGATTCCTTGAGAAAAAACAAAAACATTATATCTAGTTGTGAATACTTACTACCAAGAATGCAATAATCACTGCAATCTGAAAAAAAACGAAATAAAAGAACTATCATACTTTGGATCAGCAAATCTAAGGGTACTAGTCAATGACAGTGAAGGACAGTGAAGAAGAATGACAGAAGAAAGAGAAGCAGTGATCAAATAAAAGGTTGAAAGACGTTGAACGAGTCACTGGCAGTTGCAGCGCTTTTTTTCCCTGGGTCAGATTTGCTGAAACTCCACTCGAAACCATCGAAATCTACACCCTCGATGAAAAGGTTCCATTCCCCATTTCATAACCTTTGGAGCAGTATGTGGTAGGTTAGATAGAGCTAAATTCGCTATTACCAGGCATATTGATATTGCTTTAAAAGCCTTACACTGGATAGATCTCAAATGTTGTTGAGTCAGATTCGAAAAAATTTTCATACGACTCTTTGCCACCTAAAAGGCAAAACATCAGTGATTTAGTAGGATCTTGAAAAAGAGGCAGCAGGTTTGAAAGCGGAAGGTTTGCACTTTTAAATGGTGCATACACCCTCTTTCCAAACTTCTTGGTTGAGGAGATGTCTGCGTCGAGGATCTATCGAGGACGATTCTCGGCCACTCAAAAGTCGCTCCTTCTTCACCATTGCAAGTAATTCGTTGGCAACTCTCGAAATGTGTCTAGAATACATTTTTCCAACGTAAGCGATAAGAAAAGGGGCAATCGTCATCGTCCGATTTCGTCTCAGTATAGGCCATGCATCCGACCTCCACTCAAGTTGCAGAATCGATTGAAAGGTGTTATATGATGATGACCTGTTGACAGAAACTGTATTGTAGTAAACACATTTCGTAACTCCTACAACCTAAAGAACAACTTCATTTGCCCAGGCTTTTCCTTCACGGTTGTCGTTTTTTGCGACAGGGTCCCTAACAACAGTGTCATTCTCAGCGAGGTATTAAGGGAGAGGGAGAGCGGGAGATACTCCTACTACCTGCGCTATGATGCCACTGATGTGCTCGTGACTTGCTCCCACAAGTACGATCCACCATAGCCTCCTGGCAAATACGACCCCCTGTCAAGGATTTCCTCGACCGATATCACCCTGGTACGACCCTCTCTAAAATAGGAATCCGTACTAACCAATTTCGATTCTGATGAAAACGTTTTAGCACTCTTCATATATCACGCTATAACGTGGACTCGCAAGTATCAGGAAGTGGCGTATCGTGCATACAGCAAAAAGTTTGCTTGAGTCATAATGGGTCGTCCAAGCCAGTCGAAGCTTCGAATTTTCTCGGAGTCTTCAGAAGCAACCGGAGGAATGGAAGCTCGGATTGCCCTAAGAAGACAAAGATGTTTTCTGTGAGATCGTTACGGTGGGATGACCAAAACGAATAAGCGACAACAACGGTAGCACTAACGCACAATAAATAAAGAAAGGGCAGGCCTCCACTGCTTTGGGCAGGCCTGCACAGGTTTTTGTTGATAAAAGCGCGAAAATCCACGGGAAGGTCCACCAAGAAGGGATCCTTGAGAAAGCTATTGTCTCCTAGAAGCAGAATAATAACAATTCTGTCTTTTCTACAGGAACGCGCTCGGGCCCATGGACCAACGACCACTTCTTCGAGACCAGTATCGGCTGTTTTGTGGCGATGGATTCATGGTCTGCTCACAGTCCGAATTCAGATCCATTAGACTTCTCTGTTTGGGGTTTTATTGAAGAACTACTAAGGAATCGAAATGCAAAAAGTTTGGTGATTCTGAAGAACTGCCTAAAATTTGGAATGAAATATGCGCTGAACACCTCCGCCGCACCATCGACTCGGTGAAGAAACAATTTGAGGCCTGTATCATAATTGCTGGCAGCTACTCCAAATCTTTTTTCGCAGTTATAAAATGTCATGGTTCGATGCTCAATAAAACTAATAAATTTCAAATTTTTGTGAACAAGTTATAAAGTTTGGACGTATTTTATGGCGCACGTAATTTTTCGTACCCTGTACATAGGATGTAGTCTTCAAGAAGGAAGAGGAAATTACGCCGCCAGGACTGTGAGCTCAAATTCCGGTTGGGTTAGAAGCGGAGCACCTCCACTTGTGAACAAAGAGCAATGGATTCAGATTTGACCTGTGCATTCGAGCAAGAAATATGCAAGAAACGCGGTTACTATTGAGAAAGCAGTACCAGATGGTATGTAGTAAGATCTTCCGCCGTATTCTCGAAGTGATTTGGTCTAGTTTCTTGTGCACATAAGAAACTAGACCAAATATATAACAGGCTGTATTGAAACAGGATTCCATAAATTCTGCGTTGAGCTAGTTCGCTGATCCACCCTGGTTGAGAGTGTTCTTTAGTGGGCCAATGAATAACGTTTAGAACGAATCAGGGATTGCGCAGATTGGTAAAATGACGCCGTTCAATATACCGCAAAGCAGATGTGAAAGTGTTATCAAGTATATATTAGGTTGTCCCATGATTAGTGAATCACTTGGGGTATTTTTGAATAAATTTTTTTTCTTTTCTATTCGAAGTTTCTGCTCATCCAAACATACACACCTGTCACCTACAACATATTGTATGTTCATGGGAATTTATTCGCTGTCTCTCCTCTGAAATTGTGGGAGCTCTGAACGAAGAAAGACTGGAAGTCGAGTTCGAGGTCATGTCACTTTGCGCAAGATTTCTTCCTGGGGAAGAGGGTTAGAGCCCAGACTGGGTTGTCTTTTCTTGGCGCGAGGTTAGGGCCACGCGGCGGAGGTGGAAGAACTGTTAGCCTGATAGTCTCCAACTTTTTATGAATATTCTCCTGCAAGGTGGGGTCGAACGACCTCAGGAAAAAAGCAGACTTTGTCTTGCTTTACTTTCAGTTCGAACGCGTCGCCATAACGCTGTCGACGTTGACCTTCTTCAGTGACCCTAGTATTCACTGGGCGGCGGTTCCCAGCGCAAGGTCCTCTCTTGTTTCACGAATATCTCGGAAAGTGTTCGGACTTAGAGAGGTTGGGCTTTTGCTGTCAGAACTCCGGAATCGTTCAAGCTACTGAGCGTTACCCTTGGGGAATTTATAGACACACTCCATCAGTCCACAATTCTGGAAACACCCAAAAAGCTGAGTATGCTGGGTGATCATGCAAGCAACGAGGAATCAGAAGAACATGGGAGGTTCTGGTGAGTTATGCTGGGTGATCAATGCAAGCAACTAAGGGAGATCAGAAGGAACATGGGGGTGACAGATCGTATTTGGAGCAGATTCGGGCATAAAGCACGGTAGTAACAAATTTTGTATTCTTGAATCTTCGCGACTCCACGGAGTTGTATACGTTCCATCATCTTAATAAGTTGGATACGCTCTGGCAAATAGCGATTAGTTTGCCCATTTTCGTTTCTTAGCGGGGCTGGCTAGGGCGGTGAGATTGCCAGTCGAATGGTACCTGGAGTGTGGGTCATCTTCAAATAATAAATTCAATCCCGGAATAGAGTGAACCATAAGTGCACCGTGGGTTGAGCGAGCGTGCCCTCGTCTATCTGCTGGTTGATCCACAATGTTGTTTGGCGTTCGAAAGATCCTAATAAGAGGTGATGAAGAGATGAGCTCAAAAATAGGTTCTTGAAAAATTGATGTAACAGCCGCGTAAGGCAGCGTATAAATGGGCTGACTAAATACTCGGGTAGGACAATGTGTGCGCTACTTGGCAAAACATGTTTCACGCCTTTACAATTTTTCTTGAATTTTTCATAGCCATAAATGTAAAGTGATTCACTAATTATGGGACAACCTAATATTATAGAATGTTTTGCGCCCCTAGGTCCTGCGCTGGACTTGAATTCTCGGGGTACAAGCAGGATATAACGAGGCACGACCACCCAGGGCGCGTTGTTTCTCCTGGTGACTACTTGTTTGATCTCAAGAACGTCGACTGTTTTGTTAGTGGTTGCATGGAGGTAGCATCAATAAGATGTGCGATTTGCGAACAACAGCTCTATCTCTGACACATTTTGCGCTGCTTCATTACTGCAAGAGGTTGTCATTATTCTATTGTTGGGAGTTGTATCTTCTTAGGCTTGGAATTATATAGTTACTTATCAGAATGCATGTTCGAGAGCCCTAGAGACCAAGCGTAAATGAGAGCGCGATATCAAGTGTCTTGACATAGAGTCGAAAAATGGAAAAACAGTTCGGACGTCATTTCACTGCGCCCGCCGCACTACGGCTGCACCCGTGGCCGCTGCCTAGATGACGTTCTTTTACTGCCAGATTCAAACGCTGCCAAAAATTATATTCAGCGTTCCAGACCCTATCAATATGCCTGGGCCTCCACTCGAACTTCCTTGGGAAGTTGACAGCCTTCTTGTAAAACCCAGACCATGCTTTTAAGGAGTAGGTAGTGATCCTCCAGGCCTAGTCGTCATCCTATTGCTGGGTATTCTTGCAAGAATAATGCCAGTAGAAACAGAATAGAACAGAATTTCGCCACTATTGAAGCAACAACGCAGATGAGCTCGAGTGAAACACTCTACTTTGAGGATAGCATAGAGTTGGACACGAGAATAACAGAAGTGAATAGTCGCAACTCAAAACCGGGAGAAAAGACGCCAGAACTTACAAAACGAGCCAAACTAACCTGAACGAAGCTGAGCAATAGTTCCCTTGCGGCTGAATGCGACAGTCTAATTATGAAGTCTCGCCTATTTTAAATGTGCACGGTTTGGGGAGCTATGGATCAACAAGTTTGTCCAGGCGCGCCCCTTCCTAATCTCAAAGGGGAAGAGTGAGGTCATTGTTTACAGTTTCATCAGCGGAATCCTTTGTTTTTTTTTACAATGAATTATATCGGCATCCTTTCACTGGTCGGGCCTGGTATCACATCAATCTGATCCGGGATGTTGTTTCAAACATCTACTATCTTGAAGAGCGTACTGACCCAGAATGTCATGCGAAGTGTGTTGTGTTGGCTACGAAAGTGGTAGCTCTGTACGAACACGGTGAAAGATGTCGCCAGCACCGATATTACCATGCAACTTTGAAAAAAGACCCCTGAAATAGAAAGCAAATTGTTCAAAATGCAACAGGAAGAAAGCTAATTGAATAGTGAATCAAGGTTTCATTGCCTTTTTTTACAAAAGAAAATCAAAGTGCTCTCACCAAGCAGAGGAACGGCTTCGGATGTGTGTGGAGTCATCTCGTTCATTAATAGTGAGGAAAATGCAAATGGCCAGCGATACGGAGATCTGGAGGCCAACTTTCTCACAGGTCTCCGGACTGAGAGTGAATCCTAGCACCACCAATACCATAGTGAGCATGCATGGCATGATCAGATTGAACGCATAGTACCTGCGTGAAATTTAAAGATTGGCTATTACGAAATGTCAGAAGTGGGGAATAGATCAGCCCTTCCTCACTTTGAGAATGTGTTGATCTGTATCATGTTAGAGACTTTTATCATCTTCTTACCACTTATTGCCTCATTCAACATCACCGAGGCACTGCATTCGTGATGCAACTATGCATACTACAGATTGTTTGGGACGGTAAAAAAGTAGACTCAACTGACAGTTATCATGAGTTTATGATGACCATGAGCTCGCCCAGTTCCCAGAGGCAGTGAAGGCAAACAAGAGATAAGACTCACTAGTAGGAGCCACAGCGCGGTAAGCGTGTTGGATCCGTGCCTATAGAGGCCCTGCATCCCTGTTCATATTCTGTCAACTCTGTAGCTCAAGCTGCACTACTAAGCGTTTTCGTACATCAGTTTTAGCTCGGAGTTTCCACTAAAGGAGCAGGCGCACAAAATTCACGCTGTCCATAAAGTTCCAATAGCATCTCTGTGGACGCATGCAAATCACCCCTACTCCGGAAATTCAAAGCAACAGTCCAAGCAGGGTTCCAAACACTTGCAGGTTTTGGAGAGCGCGACCGGCTGCGGAGACATTTGCGGCCGGTTGGGACCACAAGGACTATCTCAGCTCGGTCCTTTAAAGCCACCAATGTGACGCTGCAGTTTTTTTTGACTTTTCTTCAGACGGACGCACTTTCGCCCTCGCGGAGAAGGCAATCCTCGAATGATCGCTACATCTTCCATTTTACTTTTCAGGAGCATGCTTCGTTCGACGTATTGGCAGGTTCAGACAACTTGTCCAACACG